TTCTCCTCCATTCTCCTCTTGGGATCTTGGGCACGCACGTACACGCACCCAGCGTGAGTTTTAAGCCACCGGGTTCAGGACGCGAACCGCGGTCGACTACGTGGGAGTCCAGCGACATAGCCATTACGCTAACTGCTGGTTCCCTTGGGGTTGTGTTTTTAAGGATTATGGCCCACACCCTTTATAAGATCTGTGCCCTCCCAGGTAGAGTCGGTTTCCTCTGTTGGTGGCCAGTAATCTCCACAGGCCTGGAGCCTCTATACAGAGCCTCACTTGACAAGGCAGTGGACATCCCAGCTATTCTGTGGACCTGTAGGCCCTCCCAGGGTGTCACACTGAGATAAGAACAGCCTTTGATGAGTAGCCTCTGCTGCTGGCTGATCAGTGCAACTGCCCACCAAGTGTGGACAAGCATGGGCCATTCTTGATGGCATGCAGCATACGTCTTCCCCTTCCCTGGGGACATTTCCTTCCTCTCATCAGTTACCTGGTGGAGGGGGTGCTGGAGAGGACTCTAGATGGGACATGGCAGTTGCAGAGCCAGCTATGTTAGGGTGTGGACGTCAGACCTGGAGTACTCTACTGCAGCAGAGTAACTGAGGGCCACGTGTATTTAGAGGGTGCATTCTGCTCTGTGTGTACTCCACATTCGGGGATTCCCTGAGAGGCCAGAGAATGTGTGCTTGAGTTGCGAGCTTCACATTGGGGGATTCCCTGTGAGGTCAGGGCACGCATGCTCGCATCATGAAATTGGGCTGTTCTGTCACATTCAGTAGTCCACAAATGAGGCTGTGGGGGTATGGTCTCCACCACGGCTGTCTCAGTCTGATGTACACTGTGCTTCTCACAAGGCCACTCAGTGCATCTAGCCAAGTGGACGTCAGATTTCTGCGGTGACACTGAAGGTAGTTGGGTATTCTTAAGCTGATGGACTACAATGTAGTAGGAAAATGCTTTGCTCTGATTTGCTTCATTCTTCTTGATTGGAGGAAGATAGTGACGTCATTATGGGTACTGCTGCATGTCCCCCTTTGGGCATTGTCGTTGTCTCTTGTGTTAGCCCAAGCTCAGGAATGGTGTGGACTGGACTGTGGCCTTTCCAGTGGACCAGCTTCTGGGCATGTCTGTGCTGGTCCCCAAGACCCAGGACTCCCTGGCTTCCACAGTGCCACCCTCCGCATGGCAACTTCTGCCTGTCTCCAGTGTACCTGCCTCCATCCATCCAGTCTCTTGGGCAAAGGGAGGTAGCTGACTGAGAGCAAGAAGGAACGGTTTCTTCTCTCAGACATGAGCAAAGGCCAACCAGAGAGCCACAGGTTCCATACCCGGCCAACCCTCCCCATCATCCTCATTTCTGAGCGTAATGAGCCGCAGGTTCCCTTGCCTTGGCAGGCCATCTGAGTCTTGGGGCCCCACGCAGTGGCAGGCCCATCCCAGGGCTTGGCGTTTCTCTGATCGTTCTAAATGCCAAGCGTCACCAGGCAAGGCTTGCCATTCACACTGCTCGCAGGACAGAGGGATCGTTTGCCTCTGCCTGGGTGAGTGCCAGGTAGGCTGTGCAGGTTTGTACTAGGTTGTGTGCAGCTGTGTTTTGTTTGGATTTGGGGTATATTAACCCTCTCTGCAAATATGGAGTCAAACTCCAGTGTCCAATAGGTTCAAGGTAGTGACTGCCAGCACTGAATTGCCAGTGAGAAGGAAACGGGCCTTGGTCTCGATCTTGGGTCCCATTGTCTAACCTAGTAATTTGCGGTAACAACTGGATAGACGAGAACGCGGCCCATAGTGCCAGGCTGAGTGAGGCTCAGCCACCAGAGTGACCATCCTTACCTCAGGAGCACAAGGTGGACAGGATGGCGGGTTCTGCATGTGGGTGTAAGCTTGTGTTCTCTCACAGCGGCATCTGCTTCCTAGGCACGTCTTTCTCATTGGGCACTGAGGGAGCAGCACCCACTGCCTAGAGCTCTGGAAGGAAGTACCTACAGGTTGTAGAAGGTGGGCTAGCTCCCCACGTGGACCAACAGTGGTCTTGTGGTCACCCCTCAAAGGCCACCTTGTCCAGGCCCTGGCATCATTACTTTGGCTTGTCTGGGCCCAAAGTACTCCCCCTGCCCCATGGCTGTGGGCTCTGAGGCCGGTTTTGAGTCCCTGTGGAGGGTCAGAAACCAGTGGTCTTGACCTTCTTCACAGAATAGGGACACAACCTGTCACTAGGCGCAGCTTTGCCCCTGACCATCTGCTGATAGTGGGACCTCCGTTATGGTGGCATCCCAAGCCTGCAGAAGGATGTCCTCTTCCTAGGCTTTGAGAAGGGGGTGAAAGCAGGTGACCTCCCAGCTTGGGAGACCTTGGGCTGCTGAGACAACAGGCGTGACCCACCTTTCTAGTCTTCCAAATTCCCCTCTGTGCTTTCTCGCTTTCGTGATGGGTGAAGTGAGAAGAGCAAGTCCCCGTTAGAGCCCTGTTCTGAGAATGAACCATGCCCAATAGGAGGTGTCGTTGGGGTTTCTTTTACGAGAACCTCCGAAGTGTGGTTGCAGCTGCCTGAAGATGGGAGGGCCTTGGCAGGCTGGGGGTGGGTGGGGCCTGAGGCTCTGGCCCCAACACGGGAGAAGGAAGCACCCCCCCCTTCCAAGTGGGGGCAGCCTGAGGTGGGGCGGCTCAGGCGTCTGGCACTTTTCTCCCCAGAAATCTGTGAGGTTTCTTGTAGTCTGCACCAGATGGGTACTCGGTCTTGTGGCTTTTCTCTGGGTGAGAACTGAGCTTAACTTCCACACCCTACTTCAGCATCTTTTCAGACAGGAAGCCCCGCCCTGCCTGGCATCACCTCTGTGTGCTCTCCTTGGGAGGGGCCAAAAGCTTTGGAAGGGGGCTCTGCCTGACCGGACGGACTAGGATCCCACCTGCCCCTGCAAGGCACAGGGTGTGGCCGCTGTGGTCAGGGCTGCTGCCAGACAACTCTTGAGACACGTTTCCCCTAGAAAGCAATGCTGAGCTGGTGTTTTGGTGTCTTTTTTTCCTGAATGGTTATTTTAGTGTGTTTGAAAAAACTATCCTTGGCCAAGTCTGTAGCCTTATCTCTGAAACTCCCCCAGGGGCACAAAGGCTCTGGGCCATTGTGGCAGCTGCTTCCTGTGTGTCCCTACCGCCAGCTGCCCCCCACCCCCCTGCACTCAGACCCTTGTTTTTCTCCTCTGAGCCTCTTGACCCCTTTTTCCAGCCCTACCTTACTATTCTATCCTTGCTTACTCTGTGACAGGCTACAGGTCTCAGGGGGCCCAGGGCAGGGCCCAGTGTGTACATGGGCATACAAGCTTGTCCTGGGTTACAGGACAAGGCTGTGGGTCTCGGCAGGATCTTCCCCCAGGGCTCTCAGCCAGCAGGGTCCCCATCCAGAGTTCAGCCTGTCATCCTGCCCCCATATGACTAGTTTCCTTTGTTTCTTTTTAAAGATTATTTCTTCTGAGAGAGAGACAGAGACAGGAGCCCCGACAGGGTCCCCACACCAATATCCACCCCCAGTCTCAGCCTGGATCCCGGGCACGTGCACCTGGCGTGTTCAGGGAGGCCTGAAACATGAACCCAGGACCTTTTCTATGTGGATCTAGTTGCGTTACTGCTGTGCCACTGCCTATTCCTCTATTTCGAGTTTCATGGTGACGACCCTGTTGTTGGGGCACCTGGACTGACCAGATCTCCCCCACAGGGAAGTTCAGTCCCTGCCCTGCTTCCCATGGGGCCAGTTCTGTGACAGGACATTTTCTCTAAGGTTTCCTGGAGTGGGAAGAGGTCCCCCCCCCCATTTACTGTCTGCCTACTGAGGCCTCCCAGCTGAAGGTGAGAGGCCCCCATTGTTACCTCCTCCCTGTGAACGACTCTGTCCCTGGATTTCTTACCCTAAATGGCTGTTCTTTGTCCTCCCAGAGTATAGACCCTGGCACATCTGCAGGGGGTGGGGGCTCCCTGCTCTCCTGTGAGGCCTGGAGGCCTTTAGGACACACTGGGACTAAGAAATCCCTCTCCCAAAGACTTTGGCCTTGTGCTTGAAGAGAGAGCCTGTGCGTTGTAGAGGGGATGTCCACAGTGGTTTCAAGTCGAGGGTGGGGAGCTGGTTCTCGTTTTAGTGAATGGGCGGAGAGGACGCTGACTTTCTCACTCACAGCAGCTTAGGAGGCCACTCTGTCATTAGTCAGTTCTGGGGGGCAGGTACTGTGTTGCCCGACAGACACAAAACTGGGCTTCTGAGTGGTCGGGGGCTGGGTGCCCCGGGCGGGTTAAGGGCCATGGCGGCTTTTCCAAGCTGCTGCTTACTGCAGGGTCAGCAAGAAATGAGGAAAATATGAGTATGGTGACATCTCGTGAAGCCAGGCTCATTCATTTTGAGACCATTTCCTTCCTGGGGACAAGGGGCACTGCTAGTGAGGTAGTGGCGATGTGCCCCCACCCCCACCTGTCGATAGTCCTGCCTTTTGGGACTGTCCCTTCACAAACCATCTTGAATCTGAGCTCACAATCTCACAGCTCCCGTGGGTAGTAGACTGCAGGGAGGGGCTGGTTCACTCCACCCCTGCAGAGAATGTACCCAGATTCTGGGAGAATGGCATTACATACAGGGCCAGAGGGTCAGGCCAAGCCACCATGGAGGAGGAGAGTGGGTCTTGGCTTCACCCAGACCCCGCTGCAGCTGTGGGTGAGGTCACTGCGTAGCAGCAGCAGCAGCACAAGGTCTGCTCTGTTCTCGGGAGACGGCTTGTCCCGCAGCAGCAGCAGCAGCAGCAGCAGCAGCAGCCTTACCTTTGCATTTGACCAACGCAGCCTTCCCAGCCCTAACACAGAGTGAACCCCCTCCCAGGCCTGGGTTGTGCTGTGTGTGTGGTCGGCTCTGCCTTCCCCCTCAGCACACATGCCCCTGTCCTTCGTGGCCAGAGAGCTGTGGGGGTAGGTGAGATCCAGTCAGCAGGGCCCAGAGGTGCCAACAGGACCTTTTGTGTTGATCACAGGTCTCCTCCGAGCCCCCCGCCTCCCTAAGACCCAAAACAGATGACACCTCTTCCCAGTCCCCTGCGTCTTCTGAGAAGGACAAACAGACCAGCTGGTTGCGGACCTTGGCAGGTTCCTCCAATAAGGTATGACACACGGGCCCATTAGGGGTTCCGGGGGGTTTGGGTCCCTCTCCTTGGAGCAGACCCCAGTGGCTACTCTGCACACACAAGCCACTGCTCTGGGCTGGACACACAGCCTGACCTCTGGGACCCACAGAGTGGCCCATTTGTCTCCCAGCCACTTCAAACAGACGACTCTTTTCAACAGAGCCTTGGCTGCGTTCACCCTCGCCAGCGCCTCTCCGCCTTTCGACCCTGGTCCCCTGCAGTTTCGACAAGTGAAAAGGAGTTGTCCCCACACCTCCCTGCCCTGATTCGAGACAGGTGAGTAGAGCCACCATGTGAATTTTCATGGTCACATCTGAGCATTGTGTGCATGCCATGTTTTTTGCAGACAGTATGTCCAAACTGGCAGTCGTGGTCTAGGCAGCCCCGAAGTGTTAGTTCGTTAGATTATTTCATCAGAGTAAACATTCCTAGAACTTCCTGTGGCATTCGTGGGTGGAGTTATGGAGTTCATGGAGTCCCACCCATTGGGTGCAGCCTTGCCATGGATGTGGTGGTCAGCCTGTGGGCCAGCCTGCCATTGCATCTAGCTAACAGAAAACATTTACAGGTTCTTTTCAGTTTTTGCTGTATAGCGCATATGTTTGTTGGAGAGAGACAGAAAGAGAGGATAGTGAGAAATCCTCCTCCACTACCCCCCCTCAGGGGATGGTCACACTGCAGAACCTCCATTCCTCTCCTTTTGGGCACACGTGCTCATGTGCCTGGACTGATTCTCAAGCTGCCAAGTCTGGGACTCGAGCTGCAAAGTTGGCCATGTGGGATTCACTGCCTTACCCTCTATGCTACCTGCTGGCCCCATTTACACATTCTTAATCACTGAAAATTTGGTGTTAAGACTTGAGGTGAGGGGGCTGGCAGGTGGCATGGTGGTTAAGGATGCTGGACTCCAACATCACCGACTGCAGTTCAAGTCCCAGACTTGGCAGCTTACTTTCTCACTTTTTCTCTCTCTCACTCTGTCCCTTTCTGGTCACATTGGAAAACTAATCGATCGATCGATCGATCGATAGATAGATAGATAGATAGATAAGTTAAATTAAATAGTTCTTTACAAAAAAAAATAGACGAGGTTAGAAGAGAATTTTTTCTTTTTTAAAATTTGCTATAGGGTGCTAGTGCTCACTGGACAGAGAGAGTGAGGGAGAGAGAAATGAAAAAGCACTCCCCATGAGAGATGGCCATGCTATAATCGCTTTTCCATTCTCCTCCCGGGATTCTGAGCATGCGTGCACATGTACCCGGCATGGTTTTCAAGCCACTGGGTCCAGGACTCGAACTGCACGTCAGTCATGTGAGATCCAGGTACCTTAACTACTATGCCACCTAGCTGGCCTTTGAATATTTTTTCTTTAACACTTTTAGAGGGAGTGAGCTCCCTGAAGAGCCTTGGTAGGGAGGGCACCATGTGGCTCCGTGTGTCAGGTGAGCCACTGGTGGGTCCTGGGTCGGGGAGACGCACCGTGCCCAACACCTGCCCGTGCCCCTCCCCAGCTTTTACTCCTACAAGAGCTTTGAGACGGCTGTGGCCCCCAATGTGGCCCTCGCACCGCCGACCCCGCAGAAGGTTGTAAGCAGCCCGCCATGTACCACCATTGTCTCCCGGGCCCCTGAGCCTCTCACTGCGTGCATCCAGCCGCGGAAGCGGAAGCTGACTGTGGACACCCCAGGAGCCCCAGAGACGCTGGCACCCATAACCACCCCAGGAGAGGACAAAGACTCAGAGGCTGAGGTTGAAGTTGAAAGCAGAGAGGAATGTAAGTGTGAGTTGATTTGCTTTTCTCTTCCCTGAGGGCAGTTGAGAGAGGTTGGTGGTCACCTGGAGTCCAGCACTCCCCTCGGAACAGAGTCTGCTCTGTCTGTGGCCCTCCGCATCGCACATGCCCTGGCCCGAGTCTTCTGTGTTTCTTGGTGATGTGATGCTATTGAGAGCACCTCTAACTTCTGTTCCTGTTTTTGTTCCTTTCTCAGTCACCTCCTCCTTGTCCTCGCTCTCCTCTCCGTCCTTTACCTCATCCAGCTCTGCCAAGGACCTGAGCTCCCCAGGCGTGCATGCCCCGCCCACGGCCGCCCCTGACACTGCAGCCCCTGCTGATGCCCCAAGCGGGCTGGAGGCAGAGCTGGAGCACTTGCGGCAGGCCCTGGAGGGTGGCCTGGACACCAAGGAAGCCAAAGAGAAGTTTCTGCATGAAGTGGTCAAGATGCGCGTGAAGCAGGAGGAGAAGTTGCATGCGGCCCTACAGGCCAAGCGCAGCCTCCACCAGGTGAGGCGCCGTAGTGAGGTGGGTGGACTTGGCAAGAAGGTGCAATGCTCTTTCCTGGCTGCTCCCCTGACTCCTCAGGAGCCTTGATGGATCTGCTCGGGACCTCTGGGGGTCCTTCATGAAGGCCACAGCCGTGGCCATTCTCTTGAGGTCCAGAACGCCCTCTTGGCTTTTGAGGAGATCTCTGCAACTGACTTGACCACAGCTCTCCCCCATCAGGGCCCTACAGCAAATCCCACGCCCGATGCAGCAGCCCCTCTGTCAAAGCTAGTGTGTTACCCAAAGAGAAGTTTCTGCATGAAGTGGTCAAGATGCGCGTGAAGCAGGAGGAGAAGTTGCATGCGGCCCTACAGGCCAAGCGCAGCCTCCACCAGGTGAGGCGCCGTAGTGAGGTGGGTGGACTTGGCAAGAAGGTGCAATGCTCTTTCCTGGCTGCTCCCCTGACTCCTCAGGAGCCTTGATGGATCTGCTCGGGACCTCTGGGGGTCCTTCATGAAGGCCACAGCCGTGGCCATTCTCTTGAGGTCCAGAACGCCCTCTTGGCTTTTGAGGAGATCTCTGCAACTGACTTGACCACAGCTCTCCCCCATCAGGGCCCTACAGCAAATCCCACGCCCGATGCAGCAGCCCCTCTGTCAAAGCTAGTGTGTTACTGGCATGGCAGAGGCCAGGCTATTTTTAGTGGTGGGAACCAGGAGCAGCTGTGCTGAGACAGCCTTGCTCTGTGCTGAGGAGTGGGGCTCACTGCTCGGCAGATGTTGGTGTACGAGTATTTTGCCTGAAGCCTGGCATTCTAGAAGGTGGTCCACCCAGCCTCCAGGGTAGGAATGGGGCAAGCGCTCAGCACACCTATGCATACACACCTGTGTGTGAGCCATCTCTCCAGGCCTTGCCTCGCTCTTTCACATGCTGCAGCTTTAGTTCTGACACCTCTTTTTCATATTGTTTTGTATTTATTTCCTGACTCAAGTGAGGAAGGGCAGAGACCACAGACATGGGCACCTGGGGAGAGAGAGGAGCAGGGGTGGGCTAGCCCTTCACTTGGCCGAGCTCTCAGCGCCCACCTCCTGCCCGACCTTGCTAGAGGCCCACCCTGCTTCTGCTGAATTCACACCTCGGCTGGCGTCTAGCAGCTCCGAGGGCCGCCCCACCACCGTGG